ATATATTATAAATTTTATATTGGATTCCCTTCTATATAAATACATATTCTATATATGATATAAATTCTATATTGGATTTGCACTTTGTCCACATACTAAAAGATACCTCCACCAAAGCAAGTGAAAGATTTCTTAAGGATAGGCATTATAAATTGAAACTCACAAAATATATTACTCATATAAAAATATACTAAAAATTTTGCCAACATCAGTTGGCCAATACCATTTTATATTGGAAAATAAAATTTAACAGTGTACATCTCAGAAGCAAGCAGATGCTAAATGTTATCATTTAGTTTCTTCTTGAAAGCTTACACAAAATGTATTTTTCAGCAGTATACCTAAAAAGTAGAAAGGTATATCTTGATCCTTGCCCATTCAGTTTTGAGGGCATGTTAGCTTTGGTATAAGAAACAGTCAAGTTTAGTTAATGCATTTTATGATATAGTAACCTTTGGTGGGACATTTAGTGTTGAATTCAGTATTTTGGAAGAACAGTAGAGTAATTGATTGTGGTTCGGATTGAGGAACCAGAGTTCAAATTCCAGTTGAATTCATTACAATCACTTATGTACTAATACCCTTGGGAAAGGTATGAATCTAATTCTTTCCCCCAACTATGGGTAAATAGTAGAACAGAGTTGGTTGTATATCCTTGAGTGGCAACCAGTCTAGGAGAAGGAAAAATTTGAATTTGTAGGCCCTGGTGAAGCACATACTATGTATATAAAAAAAAAAAAAAAAAAAAAAAAAAAAGATCATTTGCATTGATTCCTGATTCCAGCTACAGTAGACTGGTTTTTGGAGCCTATAGGTAAAGGATAATCATTCATCAATACTTTAGTCTATAGATAAACACTAGTTATTTATACTAGTCTGTAAGCCCCCTACTACTTAAGAGATGCATGGTTTTACTATAGGAATGCATTGAAAATCAAGAAAGGAATTGTCAGTGGTCAGGAATTTATGCAAGCACTACTGATCAAATAGGGTTAATATAAGTGTAACTAGTGTACCTGTGCCATCAAAAATGACAGCAACAAAAGTTTTGTATCAATGTATCAACGTATTCAATAAAACAGAATTAAAATAGAGGCAAATGAACCATTTAATAATTACATTCCCTTTATATTTTTTTTAAACATTCAATAGTATCTACAATTCACTGAATACTCCTGGTATTATATAAATTGCTTTTTGCTCAATATCTTTTTATGCTAAAACTCATTTGTTTGATATAACAATGAAATGGAAATATCACTTGGAAGAAAAAGATTAGCAACAGAAACGACAAATATGGTAACGACAAAGCCTACTTCATGACCAAGTTGAAGCAAGACAATCACTCAATCGACAAAGGTATCTGAGTGCCACACATGAAAGGCTTGAACAAATAAAACTGCAATCTAAGACAAGTAAAGATACTGATTAATTAAATGACCCATTTTGTTCAGGAAGTAATTTTATTGAAATGAAAATAAATATTTTATTAAAATAAGGGAAGGAATCACTCCTGAATTTACTACCATAAGTTGATTAACCTCCCTTCCCATTACAGATGGGACAAGAAACATTAATAAAAATATATCAATAATTATTATATGGTTTGATAGTGTAACTATAGTGCTAATGATTTTACTATATGAATGCATTTAAAATCAAGGACAAAGGAATTGTCAACGGTCAAGAATTAAAGCAATCATGACAAAGATAAAGGAGCAATTATATAGACAATGAAAGTGCATTGTCAGTAGTCAGGTATTAATACAACTTTACTGATAAAAGGGAGCTATTGTAGGCAAAATGTAAACTCACTGCCAATGATATTTCTTTATAAATACAAATCAAGATAAATTTTTATATAGAAATGCAAATTGGAAAGGGAGGAATTGTCAATGGTCAGGAATTAATACAAGTGAAACTAACAAAATAAGTCTTTAACACACACTTCTATGTTAACTTCCATATTTGTGTTTGTAGAAATAGACAGTAGAATGCTATTTTTCAAGTTTTAACTGTCAGGAATAATTTTGTTAAAGTAATTTCAATTAAAAAATTTAAATCTGCAAATATCATTGATTATGCTTAGTAGCTTTTGTAATTTATCATTTTTATTGTTGACAACCTCTAAAATGAAGGATTTAATGGATCATTTGGAGAACTGGATCATCAAAAGTTAGGTTAATTAAGAAAGGACACGAAAAGGAGAGTAAGGTGAAGGTTGTAGCAGAAGAAACAAGAGAGACAGACACAGAAAGAGCAAGCAACCCACGGAGGAGGAAGTGAGGGGAGGGATGGAGGAGGAAGAGGGGAGGGATGGAGGAGGAAGTGAGGGGAGGGATGGAGGAGGAAGAAGGGAGGGATGGAGGAGGAAGGAGGGGAGGATGGAGGAGGAAGGAGGGGAGGGATGGAGGAGGAAGTGAGGGAGGATGGAGGGGATGAGAGAAAGGCAAGGAGAGAAACAAAATGAAAAACAAGTAAAATAAGAAGAAAAAAATAACTAAGAATTATTTGTAAAGTTTGTGCATGTATGTGTGTGTGTGTGTGTGTGTGAGAGAGAAAGAGAGCCAGCCCTCAGCATTTCACAAGAGAAACATTAGAAACCCAACAAGGATTGAGACCCAAAAACTGAATTTAAGTGAAAAGAAGAAGCTGTCACACTTTTCTGAATATCTTTTCTTGTATGTCAGCCGCCTAAAAGATAGAAAAACTGAAATGAATCGACCAGGACATGATAATGACTGCCAAATATGCCACTAAGTGGAGAAAATACTCGAAAAATATGACTGGCCTTTGTCAAGGGTGACCTTGGATGTAACAGCTCTTCTGCTATAGTGTAGGCAGATGAGGTATGGATGAATTGTTTGCCCAAGTGCTGAAGCATGCTCTTTCATGACAACCACTGTGGCATACCAGTGATGAGAGATCTGGCGGGAGGACAGAGCGCAGGGTGAAGTAGGCTCATGCCTTTCCCAAGGGTATTAGTTCAAAGTGAACACAAGGCCTCAAAATTCCATGCTGACAACCATTATGCTCCCTCACATCTTGAACATAGTTAAAAATAAAAAAAATAAATAAGAATTTATTCAACAACAATCCCGTTATTGAATGGTTGATAAAAATTCATGTCACTAATATACATATATACACGCACACAGGTGGAAATCAAATATATATGCGTTACGTAACATGAGTGTGTATATTAGATACTTAGAGCTGGATAGCGTGCACACACACACAAATTATCAAAATTATGCATTTCATATACAAAAATGGATCAGTAAGTCCGTAGATTGAGACATTATCAACACAATTTTCATCCGAAATTTTCACTGTATAATGTTCAGTCAATGCAATTTTTTAAGCTATAAAAATAGGTATTTATATATTATACATACATACAAAAAATATAAAATAAAATATAAGGAAGGATAGGAGATGAAAGCAAAAAAAAAAAAAAAAAAAAAATAGAAAATAAGAAAGATTAACCAGTTATCACTCCTCAATCTTCTGAGCCAATCAAGGCAAAACAAAATGTGCTCAACAACAAAGGGGGGATGTCCTACTACCAGCAGTATAAATCATAGATTATATTTAAAACTAGCAGCCATTCCCTTCTGTTTACAAAGGGAAGGCTGGTTAGACTTAATATAAATGATCCAAAGAATTCTCAGATGGTAATCTGAATGTGTTTTGCTGATAATGGTGAAAAAAATTCACCAACACAAGGCATGTACAAGATTATTTATTAAATGTTCTGCAATAGCAAAACAAATTATTCACAAGCTCATGCAAATTTTCATAGTGCCCTTTAAGGTATCTCTCTATATTTCTGAGATGAGGTATGATGTACATTATTCGGACTATTGTCCTCATCTTTGTCACCATATTTATTACAACGTTTTGGCCATTGTACGCTCTGGCCTTCTTCAGGTCGTTGTCCTCAAGGACACCTGGCACAGTGGATAAAGGCATTAGTTAGACCCAGTGACAGGACCCAAAGAGTGTGAGTTCAATACCCAACTAAGGCAGTGAACTTTCAGAGGGAAATTAACAGGAGATAACTGATAACCGACATCCATTAAACATGACATGTAGAACTAGAACAGTCTACCCCAGTGAGCGAAATAAAGGATTCAGTTCGACATTCCAACCACCTGAAGAAGGCCAGAGTGTACAATGGCTGAAACGTAATAAATATGGCAACAAAGATGAGAACAATAGTCCGAATAATGTAAATAATGCCCTTTAAGGATCTTAGCTAGCATGTCCTGAGCAATCCCAGTCTGCAACATTTGACTAGTTCTGCTAAAATATTCAGCAACATACTGACATTTGTAATTATAGTTAACTGAACAAACAATGATGGGGGTGGAGGTAGAACCTCTTTGTGGATGGATTTCAGAACATGCTGGGAAATGAAAACAGGTCATGGATTGGAAGAGAAATGGCAAAGCTGCACATATTGATTGACTGATTCGTTTTCTACAGTTTATCAACCCATTACAGGTTATTTAAAGCTAGAAAATTGCACATTTTGAATGGTTTGTTTATCAAAGCTGGTGCTAACTTTGCTAATCCATAATAATCACAAATAGAAGGGACACTTTTCTGGACCATACATTTTGGCCAATTTTGGCACAAAAGCAAGATTGCACAAGTTCTAAAAGGTAGCCATCCATAAGTTCTATATTAATAGTTTCTTCCCTCACATGAAGCCACAAGAGAGTTCCACAGGCTTCTGGATTCATATTTTCCAGCCAATTTTGATCTTCAAAAGTTTAAATACAATGTCAATCATTATATACTGTCTTCTCAATTCCTCTTTTGTTGTTCTTGCAATGTAATAACTCTTTAACACTCAGTAATCCTTTGTGTCTTAGTGGCTTTACGGCCTTGCTTGGGATTAAATAATTAAAAAAAAAAAAATAATAATTTGTAATAAACTTGATTTCCAAATTTAATTTGGTTTTAGAACATAATTAGGGCTTGAACTAAAGCCTTAATCAAAGTCAATTTTTTTTTTTTTGGCTCTGAAAAGCAAGTATTGGTAACTGGTTCGCTCTTCGTTTTAATTTTTTTTTTTTTTTTTTGCTTTCTTGTTTTTTTTTTTTTATTATTTTATGGTGAGTAATTTTTTTTCTTATATTTGCTCTTCCACTTCTCTTTTGTATATATACATTTTAAATAGCCATTTCTATAGATTTAATAAAATTTTATACCCTCTACAGTTTATTTAATGTGATTAACATTCAGCACTAAATTAATAGTACTGAGGAGGAAGGAAATTATGTTGTCTATTGTGTTAAATGCTTTTTTTCTTCATCATTTGACTACAGACTTACCTTTAAATGTGTACATAAAAATAAATATACACAAAGTATTTTATATGTACAAATACACAAATCAAAACATATCTTGATACATTTTTATACAGCTGATTGATTGAATGTCTTTTTTACAGTTTATCAACCCTTTGTAGGTAATTTCAAGCTGAACAATTTTTTTTTTATTCTGACTTTGCAAAAGAATATTGCATTAACAATTTTTTTTGAGAACAAGGAATTTTCCACATACAAGTCTATTTAACCCATAGCTAGGGAGAGGAGAGATTCATACCTTTCCTAAAGATTTTTGCACAAATATAAGTGAATGTAACAAACTCAACTGGAATTTTAACTTGGCTATTCGATTTCTCATTCTGAGCTGCTATCCATTACACAGCTCTCTCACACACATTTTTTTTATAGAGAGAAAACAGGTCAACTATATCGGGAGAAAACAGGTTAATTATATAGGGCAATAACAGATTAGTTATATAGAGCAATAATACATTAATAGATTCCAGGCCATATTTTGTGATTTTATCTATTAACTTCTTTGTACAGGTTGGCGGTATTTACTTAACTCCCACAGGGTCAAGATGTAACACAAGGTCGTTTTTCGTGGGAAACCCAAGCGTTTCTGCATAGGGTCACTGGTCAAAGATTGGTCATAACGTGTCCAAGCTGGTCAAAGCGTACTACGGCAGTAAGGTTGCTGGATGAATTTAGAGTTTGGTGATGTTAGTTACTGTATTAACTATTTTGGAGCACTTCCAAATACTGGTAGGGAATTTCTATTTGTCTCTTGTACATCTTTATTTTAAACCACTGACATTTTATCCCAGTCATGATGACAATGAAGGAAGTATTTCTTGTTGTATTGTCTATATCAGATAGGGTAGGAAAAAAAAAAAATTGTCTGAAATGTGTCTGTGCAAAGCTTGTCTGATTCATATAGTATTGGCTTGTTTTTGTTATAATAAAGAAATGGCTCCGTGATCATCAGTTGAGATCGTGTGTGTGTGTGTGTGTGTGCACTAAAAGGACACATTTGATGTCGTCAATGCTATGGAACAATTGGTTGAAGAGTCCAGTGACAGGGAATTGTTGCTCCCATGCCTGTTTCTCCAACATAATCCCTTTTTTTGCATTTCTGACAGAAAAGTAAATATATAAGATTTGAAGCACTACAAAAATGAATTTCTCAAAATTTTATGAAAGGGGAGGGAGAAAAGAAAGAAAATATTTTTACAAAGATTTTCTAAAAAAAGAAATTCAGTTTTCATTCATTTACCAAGTCCTGGAAGTTTTATTAAAATCTGACAATTACCTGATTTTTGTAAGAATTTAAAATCCACGTGTTTTTCATCACAAAAAGATGCTCAAATTTCCCAGACTAATTTATGGTCAACCACTGACACAAGAAAAACAAAATTAACTAAAATTATGAAGGGTCTAAAACAGACTGGAAAATATAATAATAAAAAAATTCTTTGATCTTGATAAAACTTTGCATTATGTTCTTGGGTATTTTTTCATTATGTATGCTCACTTTTTTAGTGAATCTTTGGCGGTACCGACTTTACCACAATGTGGAAAAGGGATCATGAAGGCAAGAATGAACCTAAGATCAAGCTTCATTCAAAGGTGATGCTGTGTATATGGTGGGATTGGATGGAGGGTCCTTTTTTATGAGCTTCTTCCAGAGAACCAAACTATTGATTCCATCAAGTTCTGCTCTCAATTAGACTGGTTAAAGGCAGCAATTGACAAAAAAACATCGAATTAATTTTCAGAAAGGGCGTAGTGTTCTATCGAGATAACGATAGGCCTCATGTTTCTTTGATGACCAGGCAAAAATTATTACAGCTTTAATGGGAAGTTTTCATCATCATCTAATTCACCAGACATCACAACTTTGGATTACTAATCTGTATACATTGTAAGTGCCTTATGTTCCATTGAATGATGATAGGTTTCAGGTTTCTTTTGATGACCAGGCAAAAATTATTAAAGCTTTAATCATCATCATCTAATTCACCAGACATCACAACTTTGGATTACTATTTAGTCTGTATACTCTAGACATTGTAAGGGCCTCATGTTCCATTGAGATGATGATAGGTTTTATGTTTCTTTGATAAAAAAAAATTATTACAGCTGTTATGGGAAGTTT